TACGCCGTCTCTGGCGTAGACGTGATATCCGGCTAGCTATCGACCAAAGGGCGGGTGTACTCCTCATCAGTCCGCTCCGTCCTCATCTATGGCTGGCTGTGAGACCTGGCGATTGAGAGTGGAAGACATGAAAAGGTCAGTTAGCTGTCTTTGATCATAGGTGCCTGCGCTCTATCTCTCGTGTGAAGTGGTATAATAAGGTGAACAATATTGAGGTTAGGCTTTGGTTGAGTGGAAGGTAGGTGGGAAGGGAAATCAATCGACGAGGCTGTGAAGCTAAATCGAATGAGATGGTTAGGACATGTGTTACGTACGTATGCCTAGTCATCGCCTTCCTCGACAAAGGGCAATGTTAACTGACATAAAATCAGGCTGGAAAAGAGCTAGCAGAGGTCAGACAGAAACATGGCACCAGTCAATGAAATCTACAACAGTTAGTCTAAGCCACATAGGAAGGTATAGCCTTCCTGACTGGGGTCCCCGGGACGGTAAAAATCAATGGTTGGAAACAATTGGTGATATGGCTCAAAATCGTCCTCAATGGAGCAGATTCATTCACTCCTTGTCACTTTGATTTCCAATGAAACTGTTTTGTTCTTCGTTACTACAATTCCCTTGCCTCACACCTCTGCTTACCGTCTCTAGTGTGCATTTCTTCTGTTGCTTTGTGTGCTACATGACGTGTGGCACACATATGTGCAAAGTTCTATGTCGATAACAGACAGACAGAGACTTAGCAGACACTCAAAATCTGGACTGACAAATTCTTATCAACTAAAACTGAGATTAAATCATTTGAAAATGGTGAGTTACCACATCGTCAGTTGATATACTCGTATATATTTGGATAAATATGATTATAGAAATGCTCAGAAGTGAGTTAATTTCTCACAAATAGCATGAACTTAAAATATACGCTACACTAGCAGATATAATTTTAAAAGTGCAGCTATGCCTGATTTCTACATGAATCGAATTCCAAAGGAAAATACACAAACGAACTCAGAGATTTGCTATGCAGTCGTCAGCAAAAGTATTGAATTTGTATAGCCATAAATGACGATATTATATCTTCATGAGGTGGAGATATCGTCCACTCCATGTCTGTTTACGAAACATAGATCGCTGAATCGTACCATCATCTCTCCTAGATATTCGACTCTAGTTCGGAAGTCACTCGAATATTTGGATGTATATGACTAAATAGGGTAATAAAGTTTTCAATAGATTTACTATTATTACCAATAATGAGAGTATCATCTGCATAACACTTATACAGCATAAATCCTCCAAGCATACCTTGCATTTGTTTCTCTAATTTCGACATAAATATATCTGCTAACAGGGGCCCCAGAGGGCTCCCCATCAAAACACCATCGATTGGTTTGTATGCCTTTTCTTGGAATGTGAATCTAATATTTTCTGTAAACATTAGGATTATGTCTTTGATGTAAGTTACAGGAATAGGTAAGTTTATCCCAATGCTTGTGATGTAATCGCAAATGAAATCAAAAGTTTCATGAAGGGGAACATTGGTGAATAAAGATTCTATGTCAATTGAATACATAACCTTTTCCTTAATGTTCTAGGTGTCTAGCATTTCTGTAAGAACAAATGAACTTTTTACACAATGATTTGATAATGAGTCTCTTACAGGCGTAAGGACCTCTGTAATCCATTTAGCGATTTTATGGTAAGGAGAATTTGACATGTCTAAGATGGGTCTCAGTGAGTTCCCAGTTTCGTAGATCTTCGGAAGGCCATAAAACTGAGGAGTATGTGACCTAATTGCTTTAACTTGTTTATAAAGTTTTTCATTTATAAAACCATACATCAGTGAAATCTGAAGCTGAAGATTGATCTGCTTTCCCACAAGCAGCACACTTTCAGTAGCACTGTCCACCAGAAATTTGGAGTGATCTTTGAGAATATCTTTCATTTTATTTTGATAATCCAATTTGTTCATAATGACAACGCCTTCTCCCTTATCAGGTTTAAAGATCACAAGATTATCTTTTTCGATTAATGTCTGGTCACAAAATCAATATTAATGACTGTTTCACAATTATTTCACGTAACTCTAATTCAAGGTTATTGAAGGTGATGGAAGCACTTTGGATTAATCATATACAGCCTAAACCGTGCGTACAAAAAAAAACAATTGACCTCAATCTTCGCCTACCATGGACCACTTGACCTATCTAATTAATTGGTCATTAGTATGTACTTTTGTTTTTATTTAACTGAGTAATTGTCATGAACTTTATTTTATTATAGTTAACCAAGCGCAAGCACAAAGATATCCACAAGGCTACATGGGTGTCACCAGACGGGCAAACCAAAAACCAAATCGACTTCATCTCAATCTCAAGGAAGTGGAGGCGCAGCCTACTGGACACAAAAGCAAGAAGAGGAGCAGACGTTGGCTCAGACCACTATCTCGTACAAGGGACAATCCAAATCAAATTAAAAGCTTTCAGGGAATCAGGAGCTGCAGATAGACCACAAGCCAAGTTCAACACTCAAAAGCTGAAGGACCAGGCTACAAAGGACATCTTCATTGCAAGCATAAAGGACAAAGCTGAGATACAAATCAACACCAGCGAAAGGTCAGCGTCGAAAAGCACTGGAACAACTTGAAAACGGTGTGGAGCCAAACCTGCATAGAAATTCTAGGCAGAAAAAAGAGACAGGACAAACAGTGGCTCACTACGGACACTTGGAAACTAATAGAAGAGAGAAGGACAGTGAAGCAAAAGATTATCCAGTGCACTAACGAGCAACAAAAACAGGAGCTGAATGCAAGCTACAATACACTGAACAAAAGAGTGAAGAAGAGTGCCAGGGAAGACAAAAGAAAATATTATGAAACCATGGCAAACGAAGCAGAACAAGCTGCAGGCAAAGGAGACCTCGCCACACTCTACCAAACAACTAGGAACCTTTCGGGCAAACGTTCGACACAGATTAAGCCAATAAAGGACGACAATGGAAAGTCAATCACCAAAGAGGTGGAACAGAGAAAGCACTGGGTTGAACACTTCAAAAGACTTCTAAATCGTCCGCCACCTACAACACGTCCAGCAATACCAACAACGGAAGCAGAACTACCAGTGAACACTGACCCCCCGACGAAATCAGAAGTCCTGAATGCAATCAAGATGCTTAAAGCTGGGAAAACACCGGGACCAGATGGAATCCCAGCAGAGGCTTTGAAAATAGACCCAGAGACAACAGCGGACTTGATGACACCACTGCTGGAGAAGGTGTGGAAAGAGGGCAAAGTACCCGAGGATTGGAAGAACGGATACTTATTCAAACTTCCAAAGAAAGGAGACTTAAGTCAATGTAAAAACTGGCGTGGAATTATGCTTCTGTCCATTCCAAGCAAGATACTAAGTCGCATCATCCTGGAGAGAATCAAACAAGCCCTAGATGAAAAACTTCGTCCGGAACAGGCTGGATTCAGGAGAAACAAATCATGTATTGATCAAATCGCCACTCTACGGATCATCATTGAACAAAGCTTGGAATGGCAGTCACCTCTCTATCTCAACTTCATCGACTTTGAAAAGGCCTTCGACAGCGTCGATCGAGAGGTCATTTGGAAACTACTTCGCTACTACGGGGTCCCATCGACAATTATACACCTCATCCAACAGTTATACGACAATGCTGCATGCCAAGTAATCCACAACGGGAAACTTACGGAAGCCTTCGAAGTGAGGACGGGAGTGAGGCAAGGCTGTCTACTATCACCAATGATCTTCCTGATTGCAATTGATTGGATAATGCGACAGACAACGGCAACCAACGAGGGAACAGGCATAAAATGGACTGACACAAAAGACTTGGAGGATCTGGATTTCGCCGATGATATATGTCTGATTTCCCATAAACTGGAAGATATGCAAGTGAAAAGTAACAAGTTGGCAGAAGAAGCATCAAAGATAGGACTTCACGTGAACATAGATAAAACAGAGATAATGAAGATTCCTAGCCAACATCAACAACACCAACAGACCACAATAAGCATAAATGGGAAGAACCTGAAAGAAACAACCTCCTTCACCTACCTGGGAAGCATCGTCTCAACTACAGGCGGAACTGACGAGGACATCAAAGCCAGAATCGGAAAAGCAAGACAAGCTTTCATTACTCTCAAATCTGTGTGGAGGTCAACAGCAATCAGCATCAAAAATAAGATCCGGATTTTCAACTCCAATGTGAAGTCAGTGCTACTATACGGATCAGAGACTTGGCGAGTCATAAAGAGCATCTCAAACAAACTTCAAACCTTCATTAACAACTGTCTCCGCTCAATACTCAAGATCAGATGGCCAGAAAAGATCAGCAACAGGGATCTCTGGGAGCGAACCAATCAGGAACCGATTGTGAAACAAATAGGCAGAAAGAAATGGAGATGGATTGGCCATACGCTGAGGAAACCATCAAGTGACATCACTAGACAAGCCATCGCTCGAGTGGAACCCGAAAGGGAGGCGGCGAGTTGGTCGTCAGTGCAAGGGTGACTTGGAGGAGGTCATGCGAGGAGGAGATGAAAGCATGTGGGCAGACCTGGAGCAGGGTGAAAAAGTTGTCAGAAAACCGAAGTCAATGGAGGTGCGCAGCTGAAGCCCTATGTTCCTCTAGGAACTAAAGGATACAGTAATAATAATATAATAATAACCATGTTAGTTGTAAAGCGGCTGTAAAGAAACTACGAAATGACACCATCATCTGGCTAAATTTGTCTTCTAAATGCCTCATTCAAATTTACCAAAGAGACTAATTTTTTAAATTTATTTCTATCGTAATTTCGGACAAATTCTTCTGGTTAATTTTGTTTTTATTTTATTTACATTTTGAGTAAATCAGATGCAATACTGTGACAAGTGCTGAGATCTCCATTCTGTATTATAAGTACTGTTTTTGGAATAAAGTAGATTATTATTATTATTATGTATCAAAGGAACCAAATGTACAAAAAGTAGACTTACTTCAATACATGGATTACGTAGCCGATCACATCGATAACCCATATATTTAGGATGACATATACAAGAATAATGTAAGTTTAGTGACGAATGATAAAGATACATTGCATCCGAAGTAATTTGACGACCCTTGAAATATGGTGTATAAATACACCTCAAAGTTCCTTTAGGATCACATAAGCGATCTGAATCTTTCGTATTATTATTCCGTTTTGCTAATATTTCATCAGCTATACATGGATCTTCTAGTTCACATGATTTGGTATCTGAACTCCATGAATAACCCTTAAAAAAGATGGCAGGAAAGAAAGAGGATGAATGGTTCACCAATCTGAAGGATACATTAAACTAGTCAACTAAATTAATGGCTAACTGGGTTTGTAATATGTTTAGCTTTCATCTTCATTTCTAAGACTTTCGCGTCACTATTTCTTAAAATTGTAAGAATAGCATCTTTATTCTGGACAACGTTTATAGAGAAGTTCTGTGTATGGTATTTTCCCTTCATACAATATATCTTCAAGTAAAATATTAATTGACAGTATATTCTCTTAATCTTTCGACGTGAAGACGGAAGTAAGACAAGGCTGGCTGGTTGCATATTACCGCCAATAATTTTCCGGATTCCTGGTGGTATAGACTGGATAACACAACATACAGTGGGCAACTAGACGACAGACATAAAACGGACTCACACAAAATACTTGGAGGATATGGACTTCGCCGATGATATATGTCTGATTTCCCACAAAAACTGGCCAACAGCAACAGACAACAGTCAGCATGAATGAGAGAAATCTGAAGGAAGCAACCTATTTTACACACCTGGGAAACATCATTTCAAATATAGGTGGACGGAGCTGATGAGGATATCAAAGTGAGGATCAGGAAAGCTAGGCAAGCTTTCATTACTCTTAAGTCTGTGTAGAGGTCAACAGCGCTCAGCATGACAATGAAAAGTTAGATCCGGGTTCTCAACTCCACTGTGAAATCAGTGTTATTATACAGATCAGAAAATTGGCACCACGTTACGAAGGCCACTTTGAACAAACTACAAACCTTAATCAATAGCTATCTTTGCTTAATACTCAAGATCAGATAGCCGGCCAGAAAAGATCATCAACAGGGATCTCTGTCAATGAACGAATCAACAAGGAGCCGATTGTGCAACAAATCTGCAGAAAGAAATGGAGTTGCATCGGCCATACTCCTAGAAAGCCATCAAGTGGCATCACACTCCAGGCCATCCATTGCTCGAGTGGAACCCGAAAGGGAAGCGGCGAGTTGGTCATCACTGCGAGGGTGATATGGTGGAGGTCGTGTGAAGAAGAGATGAAAGCATTTGGATAGACATAAGGCCAGGGGAAAACGTTGGAGGAGAACCAAAGGCAATGGAGAATTGTGGCTGAAGACCTATGTTCCTCTATGAACTTAAGGAAACAATAATAATAATATATCCTGTGACAAAATGTTCTCTGGGCTGACGCACAAACCACTTCACTATGATATATCTGCTTTGTTTCCCTCAAAAAATCCACGATATCTAGTTAAAAACCCATTGTAAGATCTTCAGAAGTTCATTTTACGACCCAAGAACATGACTAAAGGACAGTTATCTCATGTATTGGAACAGGTATTAGAACCCACAATCGCGCAATTCCTCAAGTTTAGCAGGAACCTACTAAGCAAACATTTTAAATACGCATAAGAGTAGATAATACGATTAGACGTCATATCTTAATCGATTAAGACAGGCTGAACGAAAGAAAATATATGCAATAGAGAGATGGAAGATTTTGGTAGCCCAGCTTTTAAGCAGGCTGCCTTAAAATTACTGCAGATGTGCCCAAACGAGGTTTACTTTCGAAAGTCTGAAAAAAGTTTGGCATGGGGTAGATGTGATATTTCTCATTATAAAATTTTTCATATTTCTCAATCAATGATAAAAAAATAAAACGATATTATTATTTATTATTATTGCTCCCTTGGGTTCCTAGTGGAGCATAGGGCTTCAACTGTACGTCTCCATTTGCTTCTCTCTTCTGCTGTACTTTTCACCTGCATCCATGTTAGTCCATACTCTTTCAACTCCTCTTCACACGATCTCCTCCATGTCACCACTCTCCTCTCTTCTATTAATTTCCAAGTGTCCGTTGAGAGCCATTCCTCGTCTTGTCTCTTCTTTCTTCCTAGAACCTTTGAACACGTTTCGTTGAGAATCGCCTTCAGAGACTTCCAATGTTCTTCCACGCATGATTCTTCAGTGATGTCGCGTAGTGTTTCCTGCTTTGCTCTGACAGTTGCAGTGAAAGTGTCTTTAACCTCGCCAGATTACTATTTTGCTAGGCTACTAGCTTGCTAGTTTTCTAGCCGGTCCCAAGCCCGGATAAAGAGGGAAGGTTGGAGCGTGGTGCTAACAACTCCACCCCCGTAAAACAACCAAATCGACACAGAAACTTTAACGAATAAATATATTAAAAAACGATATTAATTCATGAATAATCCCCATCTAAACATTAGTGACAACAAAACACGTAGTTTAGTGAAGAGCTGTACAAGAGCTTGCAATTCAAAGGTGACTTAGCTTCCAATATCATGAAAAGAAGGATATCAAAGTCCCTGAAAAGAATATTTCCTTCTGCATCTCTGAGAATAGCCTTCACCAGTCGACCAATACTATTCCACAATCTGGAGGAAAAGATACCGCTGTTGAGCAACTCTATGTGAGTTTATCAATTCACCTGCTCGTTTAAAGCTACGTATATCAGTCGTTCGACTCGAGTTTTGTCCAAGAGGGTGCAAGAACACTATCCTGCATCGTTACGGAAGGGTGGAAGTTGAGCAATGGGAAGCGCGATCATTGAACATCTGGTCGATAATGATCACCCCATCTCTATAGCCTTCGCCTTTAGAGTCATCCACAAGGCAAAGAGCAAATTACCGAAATCACTACGTACCCGACTCATCTGTATTGCTGAAGCCATCTTTGGCTATCGAAACAGAAAAGCCAGATCTCTGTATACAGAAAAGTTCGTTCAACCCCTCCAACTTTCATGATCTTAATCCCTCTATGCTAAAGCATGGTAATAACCAATCATATTTTGGCTGTACTCATTTTTTTCATTTTGTTTATTCAGTTTGTATATTTTTCTTCTATTACGTCAGTTGTAACTATTACTATTCTCACTTTGAACTGTTCCCGGTATTATTTCACTTTTTCCACTAGTCATTCTAAATCAATTCTGTTTCGAAAAAATTGAATTTTGTTATCGAATTTTACACAGTATTACGTAACATTTTTATTTTATTCGATTTATTCACTGATTCTATAACTGCACACACTTTCTAACATCAATTTTTTTCCTTCACGTTTCCCAGTGAAACATACGGCTTCAAGCTAGTGGTTTGAAGTTTCTGTAGCAGTATTTATCTTTCAGAATGGGGTTGTTAGTCTCATGTCCAGCCTTTCCTCTGTAAGAGCATTATTTTTGGCTTAGCAAGGTAAAGGTGTGCGTCTGTGGCCGGGGACCGAACCCCGGACCATGTGCATGGTGGGTGTTATTCCTAACCACTTAGCCACCGACGCACATACACACACACCAATGGTTCAATTCCCTCACCGGATATAATTTCACCCAGCAACTCAAAGATGTCTTAGCTAACCTTAGCTCTTCTTCATGCATATATCATTTCCACTATTCCTGTGGTTCAAGTTATATAGGGCGCACAATTAGGCAGGTTCGTCTACGGGTTTGAGAACACTTACTACCTTGGTACAGCAGGGGAAAATTAAGTGCATGAAAAGCTCGATCCTGTCACACTTGGTCAATACTGGACTTCGCATCGATGTCAACACAGCTTTCAAGGTTGGTTATATACCCAATTCCGAAGTCGTTATCACGTACAGTTTGCTTACACCTCCTACACATATCTGAAGTTGTTGCAATAAGATCGACTAAACCGGAAATTTGTATCCAAAAAGAACACGTCCAGAACACGTTCCTGCCATGGCCAAACTTGGATTGATGATTCTTCTTCTCATTAAGAGTGCTTAGCCCCATTGGTTTTCTTTTACTTTGCTTATTATTACAATTATCATTATTATTCGTTATAATTTATACCCTTTATGAAAGCACTCCCTCAATACTATCGAATTTTTCATTTATACTATCCGGACTTATTATTAGTGATATTATCTCTTTTCTCAATATATGCCCCACCTGTTTCATTTCGCACATTCGTTATTTAATTATGAACCTCTCATTGCAGTTTTACTATCTCCTGTTTAGTACAGACTACTTTGTACCAGCCACTTCATCACCTCACACTTTTTATAACCTTAAACTGACTTGTCAATTGTTTTCCTAACCCACACTCTACAGATCCATTGTGACTAATTCCCACTACTGTCTCCCATTTTACAATATTTGTCACACAAATAAGACTATTTATTTTGACACCCCATAACTGCTAATCTGTTATTCCACGTTAAAAAAGGTATTCGCCGCATAACTCGTTATTATATTAACGACAACAAATATGTGTTTTATAATTGTAGGGACCTGAAGATAAATTACTGAAAAGAATATTCTTCGTTCAGATTGACTTTTACTATACATATATAATATATATATATATATATATTTAATTGTACAGCTTGATAATAAATTCGTTGAAAAGTCTCTTCAATGAATCACTTATTTTGATTTTATACATCGAATAGTTTTTTTGTATTAATAGTCAAATGGAAATGTTACATAACTTGCTCTGAAATTCTACAATACAGAATCTGATATGACAAAGAGAAATTTTGAATTAGAATGACTGGCGGCACAAGTGAAGTGATACCGGAAACACTTCAAAGTAAGAATAATAATAACAATAATAGTAACAATTGACATAATAAGAGAAGGATATAGAAAATGAACGGACAAAAGGAAAAATCAGTAGCGCTTAAGTATGAATAGGGATTATCATAGTTTAGCGTAGACGGATGAAGACTCCGGATAAGAGTCGGAGGTGCTGAACAAACTTTTTCCCTATACAGAGAACTGGCTTTTCTCTTTCAATGGCTAAAGCTTCAGTAATATAGATGAGTTGAATACGTGATGATTTGGGCAAATTATTTCTTGCCTAATAGATATCTTTAAAGGAAGAGGCTTCTGAGATTGGTTGATGAGTATAAACCAGATGTTCAGTGATTACGCCTCATGTAGCTCTACTTCCGCCTCATTGTAACCACGCAGGATGGCATTCTTGCAATCTCTTGGAAAACGATTGAATCGAACGATCGGTATACTAGGTCCATACGAGCAGGTGAATTTTTGAACCCACGTGGAGTCAGTCAACTGCCTGATCTTATCCTCCGGATTGTTGAACTGTAATGGATGACTACAAAATGCTATTCTCAACGATGCTGCAAAGAATACCCTTCTCAGGGATCGTGAGATGCATCTTTTGCGTATTCACGCCTTTATTTAAAATTCCTCTCGGGATATAATCTCTTAAAATCCATACATACATACATATATGATTTTACAGCTTGATAATAAATTCGCTGAAAAATCTTTTCGCTGAACCATTTGTCTGGATTTTGTTATATGTCCCAATGGGAATTTTCTACGAATTAATAAGGATGCAGAAGCAATTGATAAATTTTTGAGAAACTGTCCAGGACCCTTGTGAATCTCTGTCTATCATGTCTTCAATCAAACTTTATATCAGTGAACAAGGTTTCCCAGCCTTCTTGCATAAGTGTTGTCAGCAGTCACACACTTCGTCGGTTGGTATCCTGTCTTCATCCTACCAGCAACCAGAATATTTTCAGTCCTGTTTTCCTTTGTTTTGCCGTTGTGTAATTCGCTTGCTTATTATGTTTAATAAACGTCACAATTATTTTGGTCGACTAAAATTTACTAATACATCTCCTGTTATACCCGCGTCATCTAACGTCTTTATGTCGGATCTAACCATTTCTCTCCAAATCCTTACAACTCATTTTAGTCGCTTCTATAGCCTCCACTCTCAATAGGCGGATCCAAGAATTGTGAATCAGAGCAAGGCAAAAAGCTGATTCATTTTATGTTTTTTTCGTTGCTTTGAAGTTTCTTTAGCGATCGGGTCGGGTTTCTGAGTAGCGTCACTAACCCCACAGCCAACCTTCCCTCCTATAGAGAACTTAGGACCAGTTAGGAAATTAACTAACTAACTAATAAAGTAGGCAAGGGCAGAACATCAAATAAACATGGAAAAGACAGAGGTGATGGAGATAACCAACGAACAAAAACCACTTATTTGGTGAGCACTGTCTTAACTACAGCTACCTCTACAGATGAGAATAACAAAACCAGAATCGGAAAAGTGAGGCACACCTTGATCACTCTGAAATCAGTCTAGAAACCTCCTCCACTCGGCAGATTTTTAACACCAATGTTTAGCCGCCCTTTGTCAATGTAGCTCAAAACGGGTGGCGGGTGCATCACGAAAGGCACTTTCAGCGACCTTCAGCTACCTTTGCCACGTGCTCAAAAATGCAAATTTCTAGGCTCAATAATAATGCGTGAAATAAATATTGTTCATAAGGTGCAAACACAAGAGAATCAGGAAGGCTGTAGACCATGAGGAGGGAGTATTGATCATATCATTGTCCTTCGGCAAATTCCGGAACATATGCATATTTATCGGTGTCCAACAATCGTCATGTTTCTTGACCTAAAGGGAGGATTCGATTCCGTTGATCGTGAGGTACTATGGCGATGTTTGACTGTAAAGGGAATACCGGGAAAAGACATTGTATTGATCAAGGAACTCTACTCGAGCTCTTTCAGCCAGCCAGATAAAAACTTACGGTTAAATGTCATCTTAAGTGGTGACAACTAGTGGTGTCAGACAGGGATGCACACTATCCTCCATTTCTATTTAATTCCACCATAAATGTACTCATAGAATTAACCCTAACTCACTTCGGTCACTCAGGGATTGACTTCTTTCCAGGGAATAGTCTCGTTGACGTAGAATATGAAGATGAGATAGTCCTTCTAGGTGAGAATGCTGATAAAATACAGAGTCTTCTGAACCCATAAAGGTGAGATGTTCGAATGTTTGGCTTGCGATTTGCTCCCGTCAAGTGTAAGATGATGCTACAGAACTGACTCGACTACATTGACTCCTAGCTTAGAAACAGGGAGTAAAGTCGTTGGTGCAGGGTGTTGACCACTTCACTTATTTGGGAAGCTGAATCAGCCAGTGTCAGCAGGTTGATCGCTGAAAGAATCTCAGCATGGATACAAAGGGCTGGTTCCACATATACCAGTTTACACCACCTCTGGGGTATACGTGATGTCCGGCTATCGAATAAAGGGCTCTTTCCTCCTTTATCGCTAAAAGACCTGGCCATTGAGAGTGGAAGACATGAGAAGTCTAGCTAGCCGTCTTTGATCAAAGGTCTCTGCGTTCTTTCTCCCATACTGAGTGGTATAACAGGATGAGTAATATTGAGATTAGTCGTCGTGTACTAGATAACGAGGAAAAATCAATTGACGAGGCTGTGGTTTTACATCAAGTGAGATTGTTAGAATATGTGTTATGTATGCATGCCTAGCCATCACACTCCTCAACGGGCAATGTCAGCTGACACAGAATTAGATTAGAAATGAGCTAGTGGCAGTAAAACCAAAACATGACTTCATCAGTCAACGAAATCTACAACAGTTAGTTTATACCAGCCACGTAGTAAGTGTATACTACCTGATTGGGGTCTCCGGGACAGTAAACACCAATGAAGGCTGCAGACAATAGTCGATATGGCTCAAAATATTTCTCAGTGACGGCTTAGATGCATCCACTCCTTGTAATCTATAATATCCAATAAAAATTACGTTGCTCTTCCATGTTGCTATTCTTTTACTTCATATCTCTGTTTTGAATCTCTTTTTACTTTTTTCTCTTGCTTTGTGTGCTAATTGAAGTGCATCAACTTGAATTGCTGCACATCAGTGCAAAGTTCTACGTTGAAACCAACAAGTCAGTCAGTCATATGACCAGCCAGAAAGGATTGGCAGCAAAGAACAGTCTAAACGAACAAATCAACAACTTATTGGTCACTAAATATCACGAAGAAAATGAAAAGGGACTGAGAATACACTGAGGAGGCTGTCAAGCGATATTTCATTGAGAGGCCGTTCAGTTTAACCTGAGTGGGAAACGACAATGTGTTCATCGATTCCACGGAGACATCTAGGATATCGTAGGAGGAGGAGGAGGAGGAGAAGGTGGGAGATTATGGGCAATCGTAAGGCTAACTTAAGAAGTCTATAGAGATCATGACAAAGTAGAGATGCCCTGTTGAATCCCTATGCTTCACACAGATCCCAAGGGAGTAATATTAACAATAATAATAATATTAATTCTAATGTGTGTCAATGTAAACATTTAAAAAGACTAAACTGAAACAAACAATGATGATGACAAAAACAGGTCCATGTGAACTAATACTTACTGGTTCACATATACACTTGTATTCATTCTGGAATAAACCTAATCCAGTTGTTATACAATTTGTCATTGTCACATAATTTGGTTGAATAATACTAATCATGGATTGTCTAACATGTGGGATACCAGCACATTTACCAGCACCATAAGAACATGGATTAGGGCACAATGGATGTCTTGTTGTCGTATTTGTTCTCCTTTGATGTTCACTCCAAGTGATTGAACAAAAATAATACCAATATAGTGCTAAAATAGATAAGTGATAAGGAAAGCACAATGACAATGGGCCCTATGACATTAGAATATGAAATCTGCATTACCTCCGATATTCTGAATATGTACCGAAAAGCGAAAGTCTCAGTGGGATAAATGCTTAAACTGTTACCATTACTAGGCATCTCCTTGATACGGATCATGAGGTGCAAATCGTGGAATCTTTTAAAATTATCGATAGACAAAAAAACGCGATTCTCCTCAAATTTGCTGAAGTTATCTCTATCTAATACCTGGCACCCAATTTGTATGGTCAGAAAGAAGCAGTTATCAGTTTTTCCTTGCCCCCTGGTAACTAGATATCTTAACTACCTGTCTCTTTCGTCTGATTGTGTAATCTTTGGCTTTAACCTCAGCCCCCCCCTTTGATATATTGTAATTTTCCTTGTCTCTTGTTTCTGTGATTTGAGTTGAACTCAATACACTGTTACCTAATTTATTAGTCATCTTACGCACCTCTTGTCTTTATAACGTAACTTCTTTACCATTGTATGCATACCTTTACTTTGTTTAAACTTGAACTGCCTGTATAAAAACTATACAAGCGTTATTCTCGGAGCACTCTTCAGTCATTCCGAAACCTTCTGTCAACTGACAACATGTGAAATCTGCAAGTTTGTTAAAACTTTTCTGTGCATAAACTCAATAATTTATTTAGGCTTTAAGTAGCTGATGAGAAGCCAACGAAATAAGCAGTGATGGCACCACATCATTCTGCACAGACCATTGTTCTTGCCTTGTTCGAAATCCATATTAGTTATTTCTTTCTCTTCACACTAAATCACAGGGCTTCAAGCTCGAGGACTGAAGTTTCAGGAGTAGTAGCATTCGCTTTTTACCGGGTGGATATATCGCTAGCCTAATGCTCAGCCTTCCCTCTCTGTCTGGCTTACTACATGCTTAGTGACCTTTGGAAATGCGTCATTCGTCGATCAAACCCTGGGTCACCTGCGTGTTTTTGGTGGTCGTTCTATCACTGCGCAGACGAGGGAGTACAACACACCTGCTTCCTACCAACTCATAGCTCATCGGCTGTACACACCCACTGGAGTTACAACTCTACGAGTCAAGTACGCATACCACCTAACATTTCGGAATACCCACTTTTCAGTAATGCATCCCTCAAGAACTCCTCTTTGTCCACTAGTCTAATATTTGAACATATCCTTCTTGCTAGATAGAACAGTGTTCTAACCAGACTTCTTTTGTGCTAAACTGGAATAAAGCTACTGCATAAATAACAATTTTTTTAGAGGGGTATTCAGGCAAACAGTCCCACAGAAAGATACGAGTTCATATAATAATGATTTTCTCAACGTTGTTACTTTTAAATATACAAAGTAAAAGAAACGTTTTCTATATTTATGTATCAGTCATTGTTGATAATAAATGGTTGGAGGTAATCCGCAAGAAGCCGTGCCTGATTTAGGTTTCGTATTAGACGGCACTCATTAGCGAGGCGTATCTGCAATCTTGATGGAACTCATGTCACCCAGCACCTCAGTTGGAGATGTTATGATTGAGCTATTCGGGCTCGCGGTTGAACTCCTGTAGGACTGTACTGGAAACTTTTGATTGTACACTTTCAGTAAAATTTGCAGTGTGGTCAATATACACTAAGCAAAAGATTAGACGCATGAAATTAGTTAACTAGGTTCCAATTAAAGTAATAAACTATCTGTTAGATACTAGGATCGAGGTTCAGTACGAACAACATTACTGAATGTGGGTGCAAATACACTTAACTAAAGAGCCTCAAAAAGGATGAGTTGTACGTTTTGGATTCTACTGCAAGCCATCATAATCAACTAAATAACATCACTATTAACCTTCAAACATTGTACATACTGGGTTTCGACATGACATCAACATAAAAATCAATCAGTGGGAAATACACTCTCCCAGTTGAATCGATGTACTTAGCTATCCATAAGTCAAGTTAGCTTTGTATTTGTGATGAATCTCTTATAGTTTACATACTACTGAGGGAAGAAACCATGTGGATGTGGGAGCAACAATTCTTTCAATAGTTTTGGATATTCTTGCAACGATTTCTACTAGAATGTTGGAAACACAACTACACAAGGGGTTCATCTCTTGCAGATAAAATGCTCAATTATGTGAACAACAACTTAAAAGCACACAAACGAAGCTATGTACAAACACTATTCAAAAGAGCTAGTACCGGCCGAAGTAAGTCTATCTTGAGGAGAGTATAGGAGAAAGACTTAATGAGAGTCTTCTGTAAAAAACGAATATCCAGATAACGTCATCAAGATATGTTTATTATTGACTCAACAGAAGAATGTTGTAGCAGGATAATCGATCTGGAAATCACTCCATGATATACTGATTTATAGGTGTGTCAAACATTGACATTGTTGTAGGATGTAATTCCAGGTTAATTTGTTTATTAGAGATATATGCATATGCTACACAGTGAGACAATATTATTATAAACTTTATGACGAATTTTCGAACACAGTTTATCATTATTCATAATCATCTTATTACAATTACATAACCTCGAAACTTGATTTTTATAGTTCTCTTTATGCCTTCCTGTTCGTCGTAGGAGTCACGAAATCTTCTTGACGTCTGGATGGACAATTGTTGAATCATTCTTGTTGTATGGATACTGAGTTGATTAGATAAATAAAGCCTCCATTATCAAACCTTCACTCTAACCTGTTTTACTAGGTTTTAGAACTGTCATCTTCACCCCTCCTTTTACACGCAGTGCCGTGGTTTAGCCGTTTTCTACATATCTCATCTCATTCAAGTCATCTGATCTAGACTTCGCTAACCCTGTTCCACTACTCTGACTAGAACTGCAGCCACTAAGGGTTTTAGAATGTTATGGGCCATACGCAAGGCTTTTGCGAACTTTGACGCTGATATATTTCGTATATTATATCCGACTTATATCAGACCTCATTTTGAATATGGGATCCAGGCAGCGAGCCCGTGTTTCAAATACAAAATAGACTCATTAGAAAGGGTGCAAAGAGTAGGAACTAAGCTAATAAAGGGTTTCTCAACCCTGTCATATGAGGAGAGGTTAAGTCGACTGGGTTTATTTCCACTGTCATACAGACGACTTAGGGGTGACTTAATACTAGCATACCGTATCCTAAGAAATGATTTTGGAGCTAATTTATCTGAATTATTTATTCCTTCTAGCACCAACCAATTGCGAGGACATCACCTCAAGGTCCAAAAACCACGGTCGAATCGTCTGCGTCTGGAAATCCGTTTTTCGCATCGAATTGTGAACCATTGGAACTCCCTACCGGAACACGTCGTATCAGCGCCATCCGTTGATTCATTCAAGGCGAGATTGGACCTCCTGTATGCAATAAATCGAAAGGATTAACACAGGCATATAGCCTACTATCCTAAATAAATTGTAAACTGTAAACTGTAGAAAACTATTGCAGTTTATTAGATAAACTGAGCTGTCCTGTTTAAAGAGTTCTACAGGGCCCTTTAAATGACACCGTCTCTAAGTTCGTTTGTGGGTTCAAAGGTCTTTCTTACTGCTGAATTGTTAAAAAATACCACTTGAGATTTGCGGGATTCCTTCTTTGTATGAAAGTACTACTGATGATTTAAATTCTTCATTGATGACGTTGCTACCAATCTGTACACGTTTGTCATACATGTCGATATTACTATTATTACCATCAGTATGACTGCCAATGTTAATAATTGTATTTTTGCATTTTACCACACACTTCCTAATTATCGTATCAGGGTAATTAATAATTAAGTTTTAAGGCTTCTCATATAAGCCTAACTTCTCATCTGAAATTATCCTCGGTACTATTTAATTTTTCTGCCTTGTTACTTAAACATTTCACTGATACTATTTTTACTGACACATGGTGGGAAAATTATGAAATCTAAATATCAGTTTGAAAGTGTCTCTTTTCTGTAAACCCTAGTGTTTAAATTCCCATATTCTTTTCTTTTTATACTGTCGTCTAACAGTGGAAACTTCCCCTCCCCACTTTTCACTCATAAGTGAGCTGTATCACCCTTTAGAAAAATCTATTTATCTCCTGAGTTTTAAGTACGATGAAAGTATCATCTACATACATCCACCATACTTTGAGGGTGGAACTGAACATTTCAATCGCTAAGTATTCCCATCTATCCATAAACACACCTGCCATTATCGAAAATATTGATGACCTGGTGACAACTCTCTCAGTTTATTTGTTTATTTTTCCCTGAAGCTTAAATTTGGCAGAAGTCAGAAGTAGCTGCATTCCTAGGATTATCTGTTCTAGTGATAATTTTGTTCAAGTTCTTGGTCAGAATTGAGTTTTTTCTGCTTAATTTTCGTAGACAGAGTTTCGGTTCCACCTTGTTCAGAATGTGCTCACTGATTCTCGGAAATTTTACGGTTGTGTCTTGCATTTCTGTTGTAGTTTTTTTATTTCTGATATTCTCTGTTATTGTTGTTGAATAGTCCTACAGATAATTTTGTGGAGTGATGGAGATTGATAGGAAGTAACCAAAATTGAAATCAACATTTCAGTTCAATAGTTGCTGCAAAAGTAGAAGTATTTATTCCTCAAATCCATGTTTAATTTGCTTTGTGGACATGAAATAGCCTCATTGGACGGTTTGTTGAACCTTGGACTTGATACCGGCCTATCAGAACAGTTTGTTCTCTCCTGACCTTGCCGAATCTTAATGGGGTTAGGAATGCAAAAATATGGTGCGTTTTTCCTCATTAATAAAAGATTCATTTCATATTCTCTTACCTTCTGTCGTTATAGTATAACTGAAACAGTCTTTTTGATAATATTGGAATATAATTTCTCACGATACGTTAATGGTGGATGTTAGGAAAGCTTTACAGAAGGATGCATCAAGTGTTTACTACGAAAAATCATCCAGTCTAACATGATAATCATGTTCAACAAGATATTGAAACTTTTTGGACGGTTTGTTGCTCACAG